TTTGTGTAGACACACTGCATACATGCTGCTGGTGGTCATGTGAGGGACATGGTCAACAGGACACACAGACAAACGTTCCTCCATCTTCCCTCCACCCAAGCATGCCAGGGTGCAAAAGCGGCATGCAGGGGTTCTGAAAACCTGCATACCTACGCAAAAAGCATCACACAAGTCATACAAACTGCTATTTTTTTTTAGTACAGGCATACATGCGACAGAAGACATTTATTGTCATAACAGGGAATGACTTTACCATGTGCAGCCTGGACCTGATGGATTAGCTGGATGAATTGTCCAGGACCTGCCCTCTCTTTGCCCTCACTGTCATCCTCGCTTACCACTTTACTGGTCCATGGGACAGGTAAGCAGTCATGGTGGCTACTGATTCTGGAAGATACAGTGCTCCACTCTGTACTACAAGATGGTGGCCTGCTCATGGATGATGTTGAGGCAGGTGACAGTGGTCTCATGGTGGAGATGTCCATAGCCCTCTGACTGCAGGATGCTTCATCTGAGTCAGGGTGTTCCTCCTGGTCATCTAAATGACAAGGGATGGGGTCATCTCTGCTATCTGGCCACTCTAGTGCTGTCCCCTGCACTCCTTCCCAGGGCCCCTGGGACATCTTACTTTGAAAGGGCATCAAAAGGTCCTGGGTGCATTCTTCCTTGGAGATATCCTCCACAGTTTCTGCTCTGGCTGGCTGGCTGACTGGGACCTTCACAAATTCACTGCTGGTACATATTCTTCTGGGCCATATGCTACTATCCTTTGCGAGGAAGGCATGTAGTTCTTTGTAGAAGGGCATGGAGGAGGGACCCCATTTGCTTTTGGTCTTGTGATCCCTAAACTTCTTGTAATTTCCCCTGAGGTTTTTGGTCTTCTGACGATACTCCTCCCAAGTTCATTGGTGGCCCTTAGCCCTCATGCCTTCTGCCAACTCTTTAAATGCATCAGAATTCAAAAATGAATTTCTCAATTTCTCCAGAATATGTGGCTGTGACCACACAGCTATGAAGTCAACCATCTCCGCATGGGACCACGATGTCCCTCTCCCTCTTTTTGGCTCACCGCTTGTGGATGGCTGTGCCATTCTGCCCACTGTACAAGATGAGTGCCGAAACTGCACAGCTATGGAGGTCCACAGCTACAAAGGTCTGCTGTGAAAATGGTGCTGGAATGTACGTGGGGGCCAGATTAAAGATGAATTCTTCCTTTATCACTTTCACAGGGATACATCCAGCTGCAACAATTTCACCTTCCTGCTCTGGCACATGAGCATTGTAAAAAATAGGGTTAGGGCTAGGGTTCTTATGCAGGTGCACCTGCAGCAGTGCACTCACACCTGGGCCATTAGGATGCTTTAAATTGAACCTTTTTTCACAGGGCACATGCTCTCAATGGGAGACTCAGAATGTGGTGCACATGTGCTGGTGCATTTACAGGGGCATTTTAACTCTCAAGTGCCACACTGAGGAAACTGCTGCCATTACCTGCAACACTTGTGGGATGTTTGTCTTCTTGCCTACAGTGGTGGGGAACTTCACATGCCCCAAGTGCAAGTTGGTAGCTCTCTTGGAAAAGGAAGTGCAGCAGCTGGAGCCACACATAGCTACACTTCAGCATCTTAGGGAGCAAGAGGTTTTCCTGGACAGAACAGAATGAACTTTCTTGAACAGGGACCACACAGAGGAAGTTGCTGGGGAAGAGAAGGTTACTCACATACACAGGAGGTAGACAACTGGAGGAATGTCACGCACAGAAGTAGGGAGACCAGGGATTGTTCTGGGAGCTTACAGCTACAGAATCGATTTGAAGCTCTTTTCCTTATCAAGGAAGACGAGGAAGAGCAGCATGGACAGACTTCAGGGAGATTGCAGGGGACCTTGGGAGTTCCACCACAGGGAACAGTCACTGCTAAGTCTTGGAGGAGGTGTGTAGTCGTGGTGGGGGACTCCTTGATGAGGGGTACAGAAGCAGTGATTTGTGGGCTTGACAAAATGTCTCAGGACGTGTGTTGTCTCCCTGGGGCAAAGATCCGAGACGTGACAGAGAGGCTGACAAGACTGGTCAAGCCTACTGACCAATATCCCTTCCTTTTGGTCCATGTGGGAATGAATGACATGGCAAGCATAGTCTTCACAACATCATAAGGGATTACGAGGCTCTGGGTAAGAAGCTGAAAGAAATGGATGCACAGAGTGTCATCTCATCTCTTCTGCCAGTTGAAGGACAAGGTCCAGGATGAGAGAGGAAAATAGCAGATGTCAACAACTGGCTCCGCAGATGGTGTTGCCGAGAACGATATGGATTCTTAGATTATGGGCTGCGGTTCCATGAGGGTGGACTTCTGGCAAGGGATTCCTGCATCTCACACCAGTTGGAAGAAACATTTTTGCCAACAGACTCAATAATTTGTTCAGGAGGGTGTTAAAACTGAATTATTTGGGGAAGGGAGACAGTGTTCTGTAAGACAAGAGGAATGGGGAAAAACAATCAAACTGTCATAGAGGGAACAAGACAAACAGGGCAAGGACCCAACAGTGGGAGGCAAAAAAAGTGCACAGGCAGCAAGTAAAGGGAATGTCTCTACACTAATGCACAGAGCATGGGAAATAAGCAAGATGAACTTTAACTCCTAGCACAACAAAACAAATATAACATAATAGGCCTCACTGAAACCTGGTGTGATGAGTCTCATGATTGCAATGTAGAAATACAAGGGTATAACCTTTTCAAGAGAAACAGGCCAAACAGGAAAGGAGGAGGAATAGCATTATATGTCAGGGATATTTACACTAGTGAAGAAATCCAGGACATCAATCCTGGAAGCCAAGTGGAGAGCATCTTGATAAATATTAAAGGGAAGGGAAACAACAGGGATGTTATTGTGGGAGTCTACTACAGACCCCAGACTCAGGCAGAGGAATTGGATGATGCCTTTTTAGAATAGATAACTCAGAAAGGAGAAATATAGTAGTGATAGGTGACTTCAACTATCCTGATATTTGCTGGAATTCAAACTCAGCAAAATCCTCATGGTCTAGCAAAATCCTCACTTGCCTCGAAGACAATTTCATTGTGCAAAAGGTGGAAGAGGCAACAAGGGAGTCAGCTATTTTGGATCTGATCCTAACAGGGAAGAACTAGTTAATGAAGTGCAAGTGGTTGGATCCTTAAGTGGGAGTGATCATGTTCTCCTGTAGTTTATTATACAGTGGAAAGAAGAAGCCAGGCATAGTAAGACATGCATTCTAGACTTTAGGAAGCTGATTTTAGTAAACTCAGAGAAATACTGAGGGTGATCCCATGGTCAGGAATACTAAAAGAGAAGGGAGTTCAAGATGAATGGGAGTTTCTCAAAAGGGAGATACTGAAGGCACGATTTCAAACAGTTCCAATGAGGAAGAAAAATGGGAGGTGCCTCAAGAAACCAGGATGGATGACTAAGGAACTTTCAACTGAACTAAGTTTTAAATGGAACATGTATAAGAAATGGAAAAATGGGGAAATCACTAAAGAGGAATTCAAACAAATAGGTAGCATGTGTAGGCGTAAAGTCAGAAAAGCTGAAGCACAGAATGAAATCAGGCTTGCTAGAGAGGTTAAGAACAATAAAAAGGGCTTTCTGGGGTATGTCCGCAGCAAAAGGAAGAAGAAGGAAATGGTAGGGCCACTGTGTGGGGAAGGTGGCAAAAAGTTAACAGGGGACAGAGAAAAGGCAGAATTACTCAACATGTTTTTTGCTTCAGTCTTCTCAGAAAAGGCAAAGGGTGCTCAACCTGAGGATAATGAAGCAGAGGACAGAATAGGAGAATTTCAGCACAGAATAAGTAAAGAGATAGTACAGGAATACCTGGTTAATCTAAATGAATTTAAGTCTCCAGGACCAGACGACTTAATCCCAAGGGTACTAAAAGAACTGGCAAATGTAATATCAGAACTATTGGCAATCATCTTTGAGAACTCCTGGAGAACAGGAGAAGTCCCAGCAGAATGGAGGAGGACAAACGTTGTCCCCATCTTCAAAAAGGGAAAAAAAAGAGGATCCCAATAATTATTGTCAATGTTAGTCTGACATTAATACCAGGAAAGGTTCTGGAGCAGATCATTAAACAGACAGTCTGTGAACACCTGAAAGGTAATTCCATAATCACAAAAAGTCAGCATGGGTTTCAGAGAAACA